CAATAAGCAGATTAGAGGACTTCCGGTGGATTTTGCGCGCGCGATGGCGGCTACTTTGTAGCCGTCTCTCCTGGGTAAGTGTAAGAACCGCTATGAACAGCAGACACCAGCTGTTCAGCGGTTCAAAATCCCCCTCCCGGGCAAAGGGGGGGGTAGAGAGTGTCTGAATAGTGGTAGAGCCTCTTTTGCACCCCCCAAGTTTTTTTGGGGGGGGGTGAAAGGAGTGCTCCCACGGAGTTCAGACTTGTCTCCGCTTCCCAGCTGTTTTTGTCCTCAGGGACAAAACGAGCCGCTGCAAACACCTCCGTGCTTAAAGAGAACTGGTGAGTGTTTTTCTTTTTATAAACGGACAGAGCTGAGTAGAGGATTTAGTTTTTGCTTTCTTTGATTTATTCGGATTTTAAGTTTTAAGACTTGTTTCTATTTTTATTCTCTCTTTTTATTTTTCTTTCTTTGTTGAAAGGGAAAGTAAAATGGCGATCGGCAAATCTTTCGGTGTTTTTTTTCTGGAAGTTAGAATGCTGACTGGCAGGCTTTTTGGTGTTTCTCTTTCTTTCCTTTCCCTTTCCCTTTTTATTTTCTTATGATTGGAATGGTTGTTTTTGGTATTTCTAAGTATTTTTTTGGGAACGGACTTTTTCTATTTAATTATTTTTTTTTCTTCTCCCCCTTTTTTTTTTCTTTGAACTCCCTTCTTTTTATTGTAATGACCCTTTTTTGAAGGATTTTTTTTTGTTTAATTTTTGCAATTTAAGAAGGAGTAAAGCTTTTTTTAAATTCCTTTTCTCTTCTTTTTTTTCCCTTTTTTCTTTTTATTATAATGACCTTCTTTGGAGGGAGTTATGATTTTTGAAGGAATTTTTATAATTTTTTAAGAAGGACTAAAGGTTTTTCTCTAAGATGGCTCCAAAGCGTCCAGGGATTTCTACAGCTTCTAAATCAACAGTTTCACCCTCTTCTGGGGGTCAGCTAATAACTATGAAGGATTTGCAAGACATGATGGGAGATGTTATAATTCAAATTAGGGCAGAAATGAAAAAGATTTTAGAGGAAAATAATAAGATCTTGAGACAAGATTTTGTTTTGGCTTTAGAAGGAGTTGCTTCTGTTCTTGAAAAGGTGAACTCCCATGTGGAAGAGGTAGCTGAAAAAGTGGACATAATGGAGGGGAAAATTGAAAGTATGGAAAAAGAAATGGAAAATGAGATTCTTATGCTTCAATATGGACAAATGGAATATGCCTTAAGAATCAGAGGCCTGGGAGAGTCTTTGCAAGGAGATCTGAAAGAGATGGTTGCAAAGGACTTTGCATTGATTTTGAATAAAGAAAAAGAGGGAATACTTAGTGAAATTGAAAAATTATTTAGGGTTAACTCTGTGGTGGCAGCACAGAAGAATCTGCCAAGAGATGTGGTAATTTACTTTGGTAAAAGATCTTTACGCAATGAAATTGTGCAAGCCTATTATAAGAAGAGATTTCAAATTGCTTCACAAGATGTTATAATTTTTAAGGAGATCCCATCTAAAATTTTAAGAAGAAGAAAGGAGTTTGCTTTTCTAGCAAATGAACTTAAAAAGAGAAAAATTTTATTCAGATGGGATGTTCCGATTGGAATGGTGGTGAACTACCTGGGGATATGTTATAGACTTAATACTGTTTCTCAAGCAAAAGATTTTTATACTTCGGTCCTGGGGTATGTGCATCACCATCTATTAAGTTTAAAGCTTTGGAAGAAAAGAATGTAGAATTACAGTTTGAAGAGCCTATATTTATGAAAACTGGCGAATCTTTGTGTGAGAGGCCTCAACAAGTCCAGGTTGAGGATTTTTATACCTCGGTCCTGGGGGGATGTGTATCGCCATCTATTAAGTTTAAAGCTTTGGAAGAAAAGAATGTAGAATTACAGCTTGAAGAGCCTATATTTATGAAAATTGGGGAACCCTTGTTTGAGAGGCCCCAACAAGTCCAGGTTGAGGAACAGAAGACAACTTGTGTAGCATACAATTGCAAAGAAAAGCAGCAACAGAAGAAGGTCTCTGAATCTCTGGGAGAAGTTAGACCTACAAAGTCTTTGGAGCAATCTTCAAGGGTGGAATTGCTGCCTGAAATGGAAATTGGGAAATTTCAGCTTGAGGGGCACCAACAAGAGAGGAACGGGCAGAGGATAACTTGTACAACTTATAATTGTGAAGATCAACACAAGGAGGAATTCACTGAGGAAGTTTTACAGGTATCGGTCCCTGAGACTTGTGCAACATATAAATGTAAAGAAAAAGTAACATATAAATGTAAAGAGAAAGACCAACAGAAGAAGGAGGTTGAGGAAGTTTCACAGGTACTGATTCCTGAGCTTGGTGGGTCAACCAGGACTTACAAACTCTTTGGAGCGATCTTCAAGGGCAGAATTCCACGCATTCTTTTCGATGCTTGCGGGCAAGAGAGACTGATATGGATTGTGCTTATAGTAGATGCAACTGGCTATTAGACAGAAGATTATGGATATTGAATGAAAATTTTAGATAAGAAGTTTGTGTTTATAGTGGATGCAACTGGTTATTGGACAGAAAATTATGGACATTGAATGAGAACTTTAGACAAGAAGTTTACTATTGAGATTGTGGGAGAAGTAAAACTTATATCGTTTTTGGAAAATGTCTTATGTAATGTCTAAACATGTGTTTTGGGATAATAATATATTTCAGCTTTAAGTTTTAAACCTTTAATGATAATATTGTTTAAACTTGTGTTTTGAAGGGATTATAATTTGTTTATTTCAGTGAGGGGATTCTAATAAATTTGTGTTTCGAAGGGAGTATAACTTGTTTAAGTTTCAAGTAATGCTTAAATTTGGTTTTTAAATATTATTATTAATATTTCTAAGAGAAAATAATTTGTTTAATTAAATGTCTAGATTTGTTTAGGAAAGAAAGTAATGTTTAAATCTGTGTTTTTGGAGGAAGTCTATATAGAATGATGATTGTATTTAGATTTGTTTAGGATTCAAAAGTGTTTCAAGTTTTTAAATATTATTATTAATATTTTTAAGAGAAAATAATTTGTTTAACTAAATGTGTCTAGATTTGTTTAGGATTTTTAAGTTTTTTTTTGGGATAGGTGAGAAGATTATGAAGATTGAAGGAAATATGTATTTACTTTAAGTTTTCTAAGAGTATTTAGTTTTAATGGTATAACAAAGGTTTATATGTTTATTTTTTTGTATTAGGATAAAGAAAGAGGGAGAAATTAGATTTTATATTATAGGCATAGATATTCAAAGAAAGTAATGTTTAAATTTGCGTTTTTGGAGGGAGTTTATATAGAATGATGATTGTATTTAAATTTGTTTAGGTTTTAAAAGTGTTTTAAGTTTTTTTTCTCAATTAAGCCTGTACTTAGCTCTGGGAAGTCCAGGGGAGGGTTTGGGAGGTTGGGAAGGAGGGGGGTGAGGTAGGGTTGGGGGGGTATGGGAAGGGGATTTGTTCTGTAAAAATTTAAAAATTTTCAATAAAAAAAAAAAAAGCAGATTAGAATTACCCTAGATTAAAAATATTTATTACATGATGCTATAAAAATTCCTAACTTTATGCTTAAATCACTGCTGAAAAATACAACACACTTAGAAAAACTTCCATGATTAAGGCATAAAATAAATAAATATAAAAGTTTGATGTCTTTTCATTGATAAATATGCAATTATAAGGATAGTTTATGGCATTTAAAATCTTGGAAGTATAGGGAAAATAGGGAAAAGTTTAACCTGGCTTAATCTACAAATTAATCAGGAAAATGTCTCCACCATAAAGAAAGAGACTCCCTTTATCCAACAATAATGTAAAAACACAGTGCTTGGGATAATCCTTACTTTATTCATTGGTGAGAGTTATGGTGATATTAGATGAAAAAAAATTTCAGCAACATTTTTATATTTTATTTTATTTTATTATTTTATTTTCATATGTCTTAACTACCATCTCCCTCAGAGAGGGGCTCTGGTAATGTTATCGCAGAGGGTAGCTCAGAACAATGGAATCAGGCAGCTATCTGATGTGCTTATTGAAATACTTTGGAAAGGATGTGGTAAAAGCAAAGGTCTGTGTGCTAAATGATTTTTAATTTCAATAGAAGATGGATTCTATGTATATATCTAGGCGTATCAGCTATTTTCAATTGACCCAGCATGCTTATATAAAAAGATCCAAACCTACTATGAAAACAAAAACTGCATCATGTCAACGCAAAGCTCCAGATCCAATGTAACTAACAAGTGTGATATGACAAGAATGCTCTAATTTAACAATATCTGCATATCAATTTGATTTTATAAAAATATTTATAAATGATTATAAGAATTCTAGACCAATTGTGAAAGAATGAGGGTTTTTTCTTAGCTATACAAAGTACTATGACAGAAAGGTTTATTTTATTTTATTATTTTATTTTATTTTGCTTTGTTTTGTTATGTTTATTAAATTTTTATACCCTGCTATCAGGTGATTCTGGGTGGCTGTGATGGTAGATATGTTGTAACTTGAGCCTAAATTTCTGAGACAAAATAATTTGAATGAAATCTGAGGAGCAAGTGTTACAATTCTCCTACCTGCTGAGAATAATAGCCATTGCCTATTAGCAAGCAAAACTATGGATTCATCATCTTGTTAAATTCTCTGATTTCCTAGGACATTTCCCATGTGAAAAATACTGTATTGGCAATAGTATGATTCCCGAAAGTCAAGTAACTCTTTAGTTAAAGTTAAAGTATATTTCTCCCTTAATGTGATTTCCCTATTCCCACCTCAGGAAAATGGGGATCCATATAGTAGAAAAACAAGACTCACATAAAAATGTTAAAAAGCAATAGTTCTCTCCTTAAAGTTTATTACTTGAATTTGAATCAGGCTCACATGATGATTTAACAAATGTGATTGCTCTAGTTAGAATGGCAAAAAAAAAATATTGTAATTATATTAAGAAGGTCAATAGATTGCCAGTAATCACTTACATTGATGTCTTCTAAATCTAAACTCTTCAGACCGACATTGTTCCGCTTCCAGATGATTGGAGGTCTCAAAGTCCCCTGAATGGCACAACTTAGAACGGCACTTTGTCCAACTATCGCAGCCGTAATGCTTACTTTCTGATCTTCTGGCAGGCTCAGTTGTATTACCTCTGTAAAAGATATGTTGCATTTAATGCCAAATTGCGCAGAGTTGTCTACACTTAAAGAAATACCCAGTATCTAGCTCTATCTTACCTTATTTTCTAGTTTACTCTAGTCTAAGGCACCACATCTGGGTTGTAAAAATAACTAATGAAAGCAAGATAATAATAAAAAATAGCATCTAATTGCCCTCTAGCACAGTGGTTCTCAACCTGTGGGTCGGGACCCCATTTGGGGTCGAACGACCATTTCATGGGGGTCGCCAAACAAGGCTGTCTGCCATTTTCCCCCTTTTCTTTGGCCACACCCCTGACACCCGGTGGTGGTTGGGGGTCACCACAACATGGGGAACTGTATTATGGGGTCGCGGTATTAGAAAGGTTGAGAACCACTGCTCTAGCAGCTGGTTTATTTTATTTTATTTTGGGGGACAATCCAGAATTTCTATCCCTAGCATGCTCCAGGATGCAAGATAAGCTTAAGGAGAAAAGGATAATTTAGGATAAGGTCCTAAAGAATTTTGCTCCAATGACTTTTGTACACTTTTGCACATTATTAACATCACACTCACTCATTTCCATGAGAAAAGCAGACCTATGGACAACAAATTTGCTGCAGCCCACAAGAATACATTCAACTCTAAAACTATCAATATTATGCTATACTTACTTCTGTAATTTAATGGTTTTATTTTGTTAATGTTTGAAGGAGTAAACAGACTACCAAAACCCCTTAACTAAAGTCAGCCTCCTTAATAGCTTGCTTAGGCATTTGCAGATGCAAGCTCACAGGTGATCTTAAATCAGAACTTGTAACTTCCTTTTTATCAGTATAACCAGAAATTTTAAACCGTATTATGATTCAACATTATTGCTAATCAGCATTTATTATACTAACGCCTGTTTTTATCCTCTTTCATTGGAGTTTGCAGTAGATATTTTCTCTTTGTGACCTGATAGAGAAACAGCTATCACTACCTAGAGTTGAACTCTGAACCTTCCAAGTAGGAGGTGAGTGTCTTCACCTCTAGGCCACTGTGCTACTATTAAAAACTATATATAGCTTTAAAAATTCTCTCTCTCTCTCTCTCTCTCTCTCATGATATCAAGCTTGTTAAAATTAACATACTTTATAAAGTTTAATAAATTATTATAAATTTGTACACTGCTGTCATAACACTGTATAGGATCTACATGAATTCCTCAAGATTGGAGGAAAAAATAGCATGAATGTTTTAGATTGTTTCAGTTAACAATTCTCTGAAAAAAATGGGAAATGGAATATGTATTTTAAAAAAGACAAAATGAGAACAAAAGGAGTTATCACAAAATTTATATATACTGCATTTTAATTATTAAACTATTAAAATAGGAATATATTAAACAGATATATAATGACTAAATTTAAAATTGTACATTTTATCTATCCTATTCAGGTCACTTATCTTTTCACCTTTATTCAATACCCCTTTGTGGCTCAACCAGCAAACATTATCCAGATTGCAGCTGACTAGTAGAATTAAGACTACATTAAGCCTGAATGCATTTAGTTTGCCTATTTAGAATGTAATTTAAAAGCAATCACCTCCTCCAATGATATAGAAACAATCCTTTCCATATAATCTACAGCAAGGTTCAAACTCTTAATGAAAGACCATAAAGACCTAAAATAATCATAATAATAAACCCATAGAGTATTGTGATAGGATAGCTGTTATTTTTTATTCTGCAGTTTTAGTATCATTTTCCATATTGTGAGAAACGTATGGTGCTATTATATGTGATCTGTCCTCTCTTTTATTGCTCCCTTTTGCTTTTAATTCCCATTTTGTTCAACTGAAATTTAACACTTTAAACATATGTAGTACAAAAAAACAGACTGCCATGAATGGAACCGAAACACAGATCAAGTTATTTAGAAAAGAAAAGATAATAACCTATTTTAAAATGTAATTTTAAAATGGCAGTTCAGAATAATGCTACATTTGTAACAAAAACAGTTTGCCCGCTTGCCAATCCTAGATATACAGCTAGTTTGGAACCTTTATATCTTTCTTTACAGATTCCATAAAAAAACGGTGAAATGAACCTGAGTGTTGCTTTCTTGTTCTTGGGAAAGCACTTTGATATTATGTACACATTTATTAACAGTGTTAACTATACACATTTGGGTCTATAATAGGACAGCCTGCATACTAATACAGAGCTATCCAGAGAAAAGCAACATCTGCACTGGGCTCTGAATATAGATAAGATACTGGGCAGAAGGCAATAGCTATAAAATATTAGGCACTGACTACCTGCTATTGCCAGATGACACAAATGCTTTTAAAGTAGAAAAATAATAAATTATATATTCGCTCTCATGTCTCCCCTTCCTCACAGAGAGTTTTTTTTCCTTTTAATCCATGAGTATCATATGTATGAGTATTGTATATAATTCCATCTGGCAATTAATGGAGTATGACATAACATTGTTTCCCATTTTATTTATGGGAAGTAAGGCAGGACATAAAGCAGGACTTAAATCATAAAATAGGATATGAGTCTTAAATGCGTGTATTAGTTAGAAGGAGAACAAAAGGAAATGGAAGAAGTCAAAACCACAAGTTCATTTGTCAGTCGCACAGAGGTATTAAGTTTGAAGCTCTGCTACAGCTAACCACAAGTATGTTACAGGAAATTTAGACCCTTAGAAGCTTTAGCAAGGTATTTTAACTATTTTAGCATAGCAACAGGGGGGCTGTGAGGGGGTTGTGATTCGAGTAACCAATCAATGCTAACAAGTTACATTTCCGTGTTTTGGTGTTTCTGACGAGAATATATAAACTTCTGTTTTGTTATGAGAAACTGTTCAGATGTGGCTACAAATATAGTGCTCTGAACCTTTGCACAAAATAAACCAACTTCTTTTGATTCCGTGGTCTGAGTCCTGTGATTTTCTGCAATAGAACAGTCTTTCTAAAAATGGATTGCTTGGTAGAAGTTGTTAATAACAAAAAATGGATATCAATATAATATTAAGCAAGCATGGGAGCTCAAAAGTGTAACTACTGTTTATCTGTAGTATCTGTGTGCAAATGTCTGTACTGTAAAGAAGAAAATATACAAAATAAGATATCTTGAAATCTATGCATGAATAAATCTTATTCTATGTTGGGCTGAAAATGGAAGCAAAAGCAAAACTAATATTTGCGTTTCTTTCAATTAAGTAGTTTGAGAGGACTGATAATGCCCTTCTATTGTGTATAGCAAACTTTTTTATAATGGTTTAGGTTTATAATTTATAATGGTTTATAATTAAAATTAAATTTAAAAAGTATTAGCAATATATAAGAACTTCTTCAAAGAAATATTTATTTCTCTTTAATTGCTTCCTCTTCCCCCCTATTATGGAAAATATCATTTTACCAGGCAGAGAGCTTGAACTACTGAAAGTTACATTTCAAAATGTAATTTCCCAGTAGCGATAAGTGACTTACAAGAAACAGTAATACCAAATCATCCAAGATAAATCAGTATTTTTAATAGATAAGCAATCCCATGAATCCAAAAGCCTACTTTTGCTTTCTCAAACAGAAAAAGACAGCCTAAGCTTAACAGTAAACAATAAATACAAGTTCAGTGAAAAAAGATGCATAGATTTGTGCCTTGCTAAGTATTTTTTCTGGATATTTGGAACTGGAGAGTGCATTCTTATTCTATTTGATGGGAATTAACTTCCCAAAAGTATTTTTTTTCAGTAAAGAATAAAAAGATTGGTGAAATTATTGGTGAATGGATGCACTGTTATTGCACTTACTTCATTTATAAAGATGACTAAGGAGTGTATGGGAGTTCCCTTCTCCTGAAGGAGTCTCCTTTTTCTAGTGCTGTGCAACTTCCCAGACCTCAATTCAATTTCTAAGGAAGACATTATAGCATTGGGGCTTTTGAAATAAAAAAAAATATATGGGAGCCGGTAGAGTAATGGAGATGGTGAAAGAAGACAAGAAAAGCAGCACTTTAGATTTGATGCTAAAAAGATGCTTTGAAGAAGGTATGTACAAGCTGCCATGTTGATACCACTTCCATAAATAAATGCCTTCATCTATTTGATAGCCACAGGATCCAAAGAAAATATTCATTGGAATTAAAGAGATGTTAACAGCTTTGGGTTCAAAGTACTTCTCATTCCCATATGTGAAAATGATACTTCCTTCACAAGGAAATACAGCTTCCGAAAACTAAAGACCAGACATTGGCAAGATAATAATACACAAGTATTATGGAATCCTTAGTATTCCACAGTTCAGTCTTGAGCTAGATATTCTCTTCTATTAAATATGAAATGTCTTTGTATACATTTATCTACTTTATCTGACCTCCATGAATTATACAGTTGACCATTATAAAATGTCATAATACATAAAAACTACATTTTACCTTGAAAAAAGAAGATCCTGAAAAAAGAAGATAAAAGTTAAGATAGCAATCCCTGTTGGAATGTCTACAAAGATCTAAGACAGTTACTACATTTTGGGGATGGAAAAATTGCTTTCACTGCATTATTAATTCTGTATATTTTTTCATATATAAGGGTATTAGCTTCATATTTAGAGGAGCTCTGATGTATATAACTCCAAGAGCAACTGTTGTTTTCTATGCATAAGGCCAAATAGCTATTTATTTTTGGTTAAAACACTGTTGTGTTTTAACCAACTGTTTAAAAAATAGACAAGAACTGTCTAAATCAACATTAATAATGATTCTAATCAGATACTGCAGCTCCTCTTTCCAACAAGTCTGATACAAAAGTGGACTAGCACAGAGGAGGCAAAGAGATAAGATACTATAACATGTTTTCAAATTCAAGCTGTACTGGAGTAGGTGTTTCCCTTTCTTCCCTTGAGAGCAATATACACATTTTTATCAGCCATAAACAGGCAGCCTGCAGCATTCTGCATGTCTGGTGCAAAAAAATAAAGCGAAAAGTTAGATAATTCTCTTTTAATAAATAGAAAATGACAAAAGGTTTTTAAAAGGAAGATTAAGTTTACTCCCCAACTGTTCCTTTTGGGAATTTTCGTGGACTTTAATATTAAAGAAACTATCTTAATGTTGAATTTAATAACAGCAGCAAGATTACTGGTGGGTCAATATTGGAAGAAGGATACTCTGCCTTCTTTAGAAGAATGGGTATTTAAGGTTTCTAATTTAGCAGAAATGGCTAAAATTTCTGCTTACTTAAAGGACCATTCACAAGAGAGATATTTTAATGTATGGAGAAGATGGATAGAATATGTTCAGAAGAAATATGGAACTACAAAGTTTCACTTATTCTATGAGTAATGATTTTGTTTATAAACTTATGATGTCAAAGTTTGAAGAGAGTTAAAGGTTTTTATGATTTTGTTCATTGTATAATTAGTAAACTTAAATAGATTATGTTTAATATGTTTGCATAATCCTGTATTTTGCTCTGGGAAGTTGGGGGGAGGGGGTGGGGGAGGGGGGGGAGGTTGGATGGGTTGAAGTTTAAGTAGTTCAGATAAAGTAGAAATAGTCTTATTGTATATAATATTAATGTTTTAATTTTGAGAGAGGAACTGCTCGGGCATTTCCCCTGGACCGCATCAAGAGGGAGGAGAAGAAGGTGAGAAGTATGTAGGAAGGTTGAGGTGAAGGAGGAGAGGGGGTGAGTGAAGAAAAAGAGGGAAAGAAGCAAGTTGGTTTGAGGTGGGATGCGGTTTGGGGGGAAGTGGGCGGGCAAGACCGAATGTGGTGTGTATTAATTTGTTTTATTTTTTTATCTGAAGTATTTGTAAGATTGTTATGTATTGTAAAGTTGAAAATCAATTTTTTTACAAAAATAAATAAATAAAAATAAATAGAAAATGTGCTTCAGTATGGTCTTCTCAAAATCCAATGTTTCAGTCTTCTGACATTAAGGCAAGCTAACTTATTGTTCCTTGTCAGTTGGTTTCCAGTTTACCCCCCCCCCAAAGTCCTGTAACATTATTCATACAAATAATTGAAAATATGTCAGTGTGTAAGAATTTATGAACCAGAATAGCCATAGCAACAAACCAGCCAATGAGAACTGTTTTTGTTTAAGACACAGTATTGGCTGAGTGAGGTATGTGATCCAACCTAGATCTGGGCGTGTCTTAGTCTTTTCTATGTAGTCCCCTGTGTCTTGATCTCCAAGTTAAGAGTTGTTGCTGTTCTCTACCATGTTGCCAAGAACTGAATGAAACTGTATGTATTATGTTTATATATATTTTATAGATAAAGTTTTTTCTAAACTATGCCTCCTGCTCATTTTGAATGTGTGCTTATTTTGGGGGCTTATTTTTGCGTTGGAAAGTTGTAAAACTCTAACAAAATAGTATTTTGAAGACACATGAGACATCTTGCTGCATATATAACAACTTTTAAATATACTAAATATACTAAGAAAAAATATAATTAAGTAATACAATGCTGAATGCTTTTTAAACCATATTATGGAAGAGGAGTATATAAATGGGTGCCACCTTGTGCATAGTCTATCCAACTGTTAGGAAATAATCTGGAGCTATACCAAATTTCCCTTCCGTTACTGTATATTTGCTGACATGATTGGATCCAAATTGATATGGAAAGATTACTCACTGTCTTCCAAATACAAATCATAAATTGTCTGTCAAAAATATTATCAATTCTTTACACAACAGTTTTCCATTTGTTTTCTCAAGAGCTGCTAATAAAGCTAACTAGGATCTATAACAATATTTTCATTAGTCGTTTTCCCTTTTCACTGAAAGCTTTTTTTTCAAAAGCTTTACTTTTGCATAAATTTACCACTACAACTCTAACTTTACCTATATTCAAATTATTCAATTTGATCTGAAACCAATTTGAAAAATATTCTGAGGTTATAATAACAAATATATTATTCAACTGTATTCACTGTAATGCCATTGTAAACAGGAAATACCTCTCCCCTCCTTAGTTGAGGTGCTATACATAATTTTAATTTTAACCCATGCTCTTTTATATCCAAATATAGTTATTCAGTATTCTGCTATTTCTGGACTATTTAAAGCGATCTAGGAGGAGAGGTTGAAATAAGAATTAGGAAAAAAAATGGTAAAAAAGACAGTTTCATTGCACACCACAGAATTAAAAAAAACATACTGAAAAGAATAACAGTAATTAAAAATTACTGTTTCCTGCACTATTGTGAAATTCATGATAAAATGCAACTCAAAAATACTAAAGAGTGTTGTGGACACTAACTTAGTTGATAGGTTTTTCTTTTTCTGAAAATATACAACAGATTAGTTTCATTTGGAATAAACTCAAGATATATCAAGAGCACTTGATATAAAAAACTACATAGAAACATTTATTTGGAAAATAGACCAAAAGTATGCCTTGAGATCACTTTGACAATGAGTGGGGTATTAATAGAAGGTGATATTATTCATATCTGTTTTCCAGATATGGTTGCTTGCCTCTTCTGGTAATTGGGCAACCACACAGTAGAGATAAGCCCTACTTAGCTGGGTCAACAACTTTTTTCTTCTTCTTCCTTCTTTTTCCACACTTCTCTTTTTCCCTTCATCTTCCCTTTGTTTCCTACTGCTTGCTTTTGTATTTTTGTATAGTATAAGCTAATAATATGAATATGTAAAAAAAACGGGGTGCATGGACAAAAGTGTTTCTCCTTACTCTTTAATCTTTTAATAAACCATTCATAGTTATTGGACTGAGTGTATGTAAAGCCATAAGCAAACAAACAAATATACAAACAAACAAACAAGGGCAATGGTAGATGTGCTTTTAATGCACAACATCACCCATTGCTATTTCATTTTCAAGGCAAGCATAGGCCAGAGATGCTCTGTGGTTGGTGTTTCAGGGCAGGTTAAACAAACAAACAAACAAAAACTATATGTTAATCACCAAAGAGAGAGGAACAACTGCCTCACAACAATCAATACTGAACCCCTGACTTATCAGGAAAATATAGCAATAGAGTCTTAACAGGGGCATGTTAAGGCTGCAGTTTACAGCCAAATGATTTATGATAAAGCTGCATTGCTTTCAGCATCATGTTACTAGAATGAATACTAAAGTCTTGGGTCTGTCACAAATGTAGAATGCTATATTTTTGTGGAAAAATAAAGCCTTAAAAAATATAAGGACTTTTACGAAAATTCCGAGGGTGAAAGAGAAATTTTTATTTTTGCGCAAAAGGTTCAGAAGTGATTTAACAATCAACAAATTTCTGAACAAGGGGGGGTGTCTAAACTAAAGCTTTATAGGTTTCTTTTTCTCAGGAACAAAGGAAGCGTATATGGAATCTACTTTGTGTAACATTCAGATAGTTTCTCACACGTTAGGTCCATTTCTCATGGGAATACAATGAAGGCAGTTTTTACTTTTATACAATGTTTCTAAATATGCATTTGGTCATTCAGGTACTGTTAATACAGCTTTTGACTAACACGGTTTTCTTTGAGAGATTATGCAGACACATGATTTTTGCTTTTAGTGATTTTTCATTATTATTATTATTATTTTACTTTATTCTTCTTTATTCTATGTTATTCTATTTCTTTCCCACTTTAATATAACGCTAGATAGAAATAAATGTGTATATAATCTCAAAAACTTTCATTTAATTTCATTTCATTCAATTTAAATTGTGGATGTGAATCTAAGGTACAACTCCAGTTGATAAACAAACAGGATTTAGGAAGCACTGATCTACAAATGACCAGTATATTATGTTTTAATAGAGAAATATACACATAGGCAACACTATGTGCCTCAATTTACTTAAATTGTTGTTTGCCACCCAGAATTGCTTTTGAGGAAATAGGTGGCTAATCAATAAAACAAACAAACAAACAAATGGTCTTTAATTCTAATTCTATTCCAAGTGATAAACTCTGGCCCAAGTTTGTCTTTATATTTATCGATTAGCTTTTGCTAATTACAATGCTGTATGAAAATACAAATTCAGGTTAGAAGTGATAGAGCTGGCTTCTTTATTGCCGTCATTTTAATCTGTGAAGGAGTATATTGTAATTCACCTGTTGCTTAATAGGTACTTTAGCTCAATAGGTAAGTTGCAGTACAGTAATGTGCCTGTGATACAACAGTTCTACCATTAATACATGTGGGCCACAGGAGAAATCTCTGGTGTTTAGTAGAATTCTCTAAGGAGAAATGGCTTCAATCAATCACTCCAAGACCAATCAATTACTCCAAGGCTTTCTTGGCAAAACCTAGTGGCTGCACACTTCAGTGGTAAATTGGAAATAATATTTAAGATTTAATAACTTGATGTAATTTTTCAAGCCTCCAGAGCTTGGCAGGAACAAATTAGAGCCAAAGCTAATAATAGCACCATTGCAATTCTAAGAGTTTTTTTTTTCCCATAACAAGTGAGATAGATGCAGAACAACAAACATTTTGAAGCTAAAATTATATTCTAAATGATTATGGTGCACATATATGTACCTACATTGATTCAAATGCCTTAGACCAGCGGTTCTCAACCTATGGGTTGTGACCCCATTTGGGGTCGATCGACCATTTTTCAGGGGTCACCAAAGGCGGCGATCCGCCATTTTCTCCCCTCCGGGGGCGGTGCCGCGCATGCGCGCCATGCATGGGGGCGGTGCCACGCCTCCGGGGGCTGCGCCATGCATGCGCATAACGTTTGTGTGACGGGGGGCGCCGTCACACAAACGTTGAGAACCGCTGCCTTAGACTTAGTTTGAATTAGATTTTTATGATCACTTTTCTCTGTCCCATACTGCATTTCAAAGACTTTAATGTGCATGGAAGCTGACATGATTCCAGCAAAGGCAAATAATTTTTAATTTTTATTTTATCGTATTATATTCCTGTTTTCCAGTGATTCGCCAGCCCTATTAATTTTATTGGTGGCATCCAACAAGGTAGGAAAAAAAAATCTCAGCTGACTTGCAGTATTTAACTCTATCTACTATCTGCTGCCTCTAAATTAACTCTAAGATGACATAGAAAGAACAAAAGTGTCTCATCTGATCATGCTTTGTTGGTCAATGGCATTTTTATAGTTGTTAGTTGCGAAGTTGTGTCCAACCCATCGTGACCCCATTGTGACCCCATGGACAACATTCCTCCAAGCATTCCTGTCCTCTACCATCTTCTAGAGTCCATTTAAGCTCATGCCTACTTTTTTTATAGTATAGTGCTATAATCACAAAATAATAGAATTGGGACCAATTCTAATGTGTGTGTGTGTGTGTGTGTGTGTGTGTGTGTGTGTGTATGTAAAGGGGAGAATATGGAAAGATGCTCCATGAACCTTAACCTATAGGCACCTTTGGTAACAACTAACTCTATAACATGGAGATTCACTTTTAAATGTTGCTCAGAATGTGTATGTTTAAAAATTGCTTTTATTTTCTTGCTAGCCTTCATAGTTTTAAAAGTAGATTAAGCAAACTCAGGAATAAAGGAATTAGAAATCCATGGAGAACTTTTTGTCTAACCTGAAAATAATAAGAGTAATGTAGCTTGAACCATTCTTAGTGTCCATAATGAATGTTTTAAAAGAATGCACTGCACTCCCATCACATTCTTATTCCATTTTAAAATTTAGAAAAAAGTTTGCTGATATTGTTTAATAATGTTTAACCTCAGGGAATATGCAAAATGGTATAGGGGGAACCATGTTGTCACTATGTAAAGTCAATTTAAAATCTGAAGAAGTAGATAAAGTAATCTGAGTTTTCTGTCTTTTAAACTTGATCCGTGCTCTACTTGGCTTATTAGAAGGCCGTTGAGGATTGAGAAGTGATTGTTTCTTTGAAAGAGGGATCATGCCTTCTATTAAGGGGACAGATCTAAGTGATGATATGTCCCCTCCTGAACTCTTCCTCTCTGGATGGATATTAGGCAAATACCTGTCACCCAATTTCCAATCTTCCCAACAAAAGGGAAGATCTTGGAAAAGGTCATGGAATATATGAAGGGAAAGATATGAGGAAAGATATGCTGCAGACTCTGTCTGTCAAAGAATTTAGACTGGTGGATTTTAGGAACAGAGTTTCTCTGCTGCTGCACCTGATTTGTGAAACATCCTTCCCCCAAAGCTGAAGAATGCCCCCTTGGCATTCTGCAAAGTGTCAAAACTTGTCTCTATGGCCTTGCATGAGGAGCATAGAGAACTATGCAACTGTGGGGCTGGCTAGTCCCTTTAGAGCCCCTCTGCCTATAGTAATCCAACATTAAATGGCCATTTTAGGATTTTTTCCTCCCTTTTGATGTTTAACAATAGCAGTAGCAATAGCACTTAGACTTATACACTGTTTCATAGTGCTTTACAGCCCTCTCTAAGTGGTTTATAGAATCAGCCTACTGCTCCCAACAATCTGGGTCCTCATTTTATTGACCTCAAAAGGATGGAAAGCTGAGTCAACCATGAGCTGATCAAAATGAGCTGGCAGTTGGCAGAATTAGTCTGCAATACTGCATTCTAATCACTGCAGCACCATGGCTCTTTTAATTGTAATTATTCTATAATTTTAAAATTTTAACCCTAATTTTTAGATTTAATTTTTAAAAATGTTAATGCTAATTTTTCTACATTGTATACCACCTAAAGCACCTCTTAAATAAATGAATAAATGAAGAATGAATGAATGAATGAATGAATGAATGAATGAATGAATGAATGAATGTTATTGTAAGGGGCAAAGGGAATGGCCCTTAGGGACAGTAGGAAGAATCACTACCAAGACAAAAGTCAGATAAAAGTTCAGGCAAGAATATAATGTGAGTAAATGTCTCAGACAAGCACCATCTTTTCCATTGGAATCTATTTTGTCCTGTAGGATCTATTTTTAGAAAGGGATGATGTAGGATGTTCCACACCGTGTTATTAATAATAATTAATATTATCCAGAGCCAGATAGCAATTTCTTTACATTAGTTTACTTTAAATGCATCCTTATTGGCCCTCTTACTCTGTCTTGTAGGGTTTGGCTACATGTGTTCTTTTGCTACATATTTGTACAAAAATGTGCAGGTCATTTTTAACTTTTTAGATCTCAGCATTATGTGAATATGTTTTTTATTGTTAACAGTAGTTGCCTATTGTTAATAGCTTATTTAATGTATTGTGTTTAATGTGTTGGATTTATGTGAACCATTTAAAACTAATTAAATGAGTTTATGAAGGAAAGAGAAAGAAAGAAAAGAAACGGGGTGGGAAGGAAGGAGAAATAATATTGGCTTGTATTTTTAATAAATTATAAAATATACTACTTGATTTTTCTATTAAATCAGAGACATTTTGGTTGCCTTTGAACAACTTCTTCTGGACCTAAACTAAAAGCATAGAAGGCTACAAATTGAATAGACAATGGGCAGCTAATTTTTCCTTCCAATTTTTTCCTGACAAACATCCACACTTCCATCAGGATGAATGGAAGGAGCAAAACTTGTGTTGGCATGAATATGTAGCTATTGCTCTGTACCTTTGGAGCTCTACTTGAAGTTCTTGGATCATACATAAAAGTGTACTTGAGTTAATGCAAAGGTAAGTACAACTTATCACCAATATCCAAAATTCAAGGAGATTAGAGAGCAGGGTTAAATCTGATTTCCTACACTAAAATAGAAAAAGAAAAGAAAACATCACACAATTCAATTCCCTACAATATAATTAAAATGTTTTTACTATTAATTTGGACAATAAATTTAACTAAGTTCATACAGAATTATATGGTTTGATTTTGCTCTCTAGTAATACAAAGCCAATGAAACATTAGCTTTGATTATTAAAGACAAATTTCAGATGTCTTTAAATATTATTTCTTTCACTATCTATAATGGAACCAGACATTCTCAAAACACATTTTGGCAGCCTTTGGATTGACAAAACAAACAGAAAAAATCCTTTGATTTTTTTTTTTTAAATGAAAGATGAAACTAATTAGAATGCTTACTTCTGCTCCTTCCAGATCAATTTTTGTCTGCATGCAGTATGATAATAGAATCACGAGCCATAAACAGATCTAGACAATCAAGCTTCAAGAGTTCATATTTCATCTGACAAACAGAACAGCTACTATCAAATAAGTCTATATACCAATTGAATCTGTGCTTTAAAGCTTCAGCTTTGCAATTATTTATAATAGGGAAAAGGGAAGTTTCCTTGATTCAAATTTCCCTAAGTGTAATTGTCTGTATTTTCTGCCTGTAGGTATAAGTAGAGGAAATAAGAAGAGGGAAGTTGAATATCTCACCCTTTGTAACCTACTATGGAAAGTACAAAAAACAAATGTGCTAGTCATTTATGTATTGAGTTGTCATTTACCCAGAATCACAAAGACTAAAAGCCCGAAATTTCTTACAAAATACAGAGACTGGTTTACTTCTAATATATAGCTTGTTTAGGCTTTCATACCAGTGTAAACTGGCTGAATAAAAACTGCTGCATGAAGAAAGTTGTCTACTGTTTTGTAATCTTGTAAATATGTGTACTGGTGCAACTATTTAATATTTTCATCTTCTGGATATACAGAGAAGTTTTATTGTGATTAAGAAATAATAAAATAAATGTGGATATTGAGGAATAGAACCTATCTGAATGTTCTGTGCAAGTATTGAAGAAATATGTTTAACAATAACATACTATAAGACAAAAAAAATATATAAATATTAATTTATAGGTTACCAAAAACATTATAGTTCAAAGTCACATAATTTCTCCCAAAGACATGAAAGGACAGTCCAAGAATAAGTAAAAAACAACAACCCCAAAATATACCACTAAGAATGAATAATAAAGTAACAATGAATTAAAAATATTTCTTTTCATAGAGAAGATGATTCATTAATAATACAGCAGTAAAACTTGGTAGACTTTTTAGTCTTTAAGAATTAAGTCTAACAAATAAATTTATTTAAAATATTCCACATAAAAATTCCACATAAAATAAAGGAACTTCTCCATTCTTGAAATAGAGATTTTTCAATTCTAGAAGGAGACAAGCTTAAAGAAAAAGGGAAAGTCAGAACTATTCCTAACAAAATCATAGAAGACCATGTTTCTGTTTATTGATCATTTGATTTCTGTAGAGAAAATAAGATTTAAGAAGATTGGAGGTTGCCCAGCATTTATATTAGTAATATACAGTATCTTATGCAGCTGAGCCAAACATCATAAACTCAAGCAACAGTATAGGATGGAAGTATGTATGATATGCAGCTTTCCAAAGTTATAAAGCAGTTGTTAGGATTCTGACACTATTGAAAGTTCTTATTAATTTTAATCTCTATGTTGTTTTTTACAAACTTTATAAAGAACACAACCATGTATCTATGCATTTAAATGTCAGTTCAAAAAATAAATAGGAATAATTGGTTTTAAAGGGTAATAATCTCCTGGAAAAAGTAGTTTATATTTTCATGTATTTATTCAAGTGGAAAGGTGAATTTATGCAAAATTCAGTTCCATTATGTTTGTTGTGCTCACACATCACTAGTTCAGGAAAAATTGTTTCACTTAAATGTCATCAGTTTACCCTAGTTTTTCATAGTCGTTCTGACTTAAGCAATAAGTTGCATAATGACTTCATGGATAAGTTAACATTTATGATTATAAAAAATATATTAAAAAACAATATAAAAACCAAATATTAACTTCAGCATTACAAATTCAACCTAGAAAATTTCCCCCCCAAAACAGTCAATAATGAAATGGGAAATTTAAAAGAACACTTGTCACATCCTAATACATATGGTTTTAAACAGAGAAATAATTAATATATTAATTATATTAACTTGGTGGAGGGCTGTTTTCATACACATACACACACACATGTCTGTATGAATATATGTGCGTACATATATGTATATTTGTTTTCTGAGGTTTTCGCGGGTGTTTGTATGTAGGTCTTTGGTTGTTCGGGTTTTCTCCCGCGTAAAATTGGAAGTGTCATGGCGACGTTTCGACGAAGTCCCATTCGTCATCTTCAGGCTGGTGTTTTCAGCTTCGTGCTTCGAGCAGCATTGCTGCTCGAAGCACGAAGCTGAAAACACCAGCCTGAAGATGACGAATGGGACTTCGTCGAAACGTCGCCATAACACTTCCAATTTTACGCGGGAGAAAACCCGAACAACCAAAGACCTACATATATGTATATGTATGTATATCTTAAATTTAATTACAAGACAAAATCGCCAGGCTTATACTAGATAATTTATCATACAAAGCTGATTCTTTCCATATACTTCTAGCCATGCTGAAGACATTCTTTATGAAAAAGGGATGAATTTGGAGGGGCATGGTGACAATAATTTGACAGGAATGAGAAAATTGGAAATAGTGCTAGTCCCTGCAGACCACTAGCAAAAAGAACCCAAGGAATAAATCAACCTGCTGTTCCTTCTTGATATCCTTCCATGCATTACACATATCTGCTATACAGGAGCCATTGATTTATGACCAAAATTGACCCCAAAATTTCCATTCTAAGCAACACAATTGTTAAGTGATTTCCCCCATTTTATGACCTTTTTTGCCAGTTGTTAAGTGAATCACTGCAGTTGTTCAGTTAGTAACATGGTTGTTAAGTGAGTCCAGCTTCTCCATTGTTTTGCTTGTCAGAAAGTTGCAAAAGTTGATCAAAGGACCCTGGAACATTGCAACTATCATAAATGCATGCCAGTAGCCAAGCATCTGGATTTTGATTGCATGACCACATGAATTCTGCAATAGTCATAAGTGTGAAAAATGGTCATATATCACTTTTTTCAGTGCTGTATCTTTGAATCTTTGAAACGAATGGTTGTAAGTCAAAAACTACCTGAAGTGAAAAGCCTTGACATAAGTATTTGTATGTTCAAAAGAATTCTAATCATGCTATGTGCCCAGATGTTTCAAATATATTAATCTGCAATGTTGAGGAAACAGAAATTTAAGCCTGGAGATGACTTCTATGTCCCTGCATGTCAGGGAACATAAATGTCTGTCAATTGGAGATGCTTGCATAACTATTGCATTTATATTTAAACCCTCTAGCTGCTCCATTTTGTTCTTTGAATATGCCTCCCAACTGGAAGTTGGATCAACCAAACAGCATGTAGGACATGGGTCGTCTCACAACACATATGGTAGTTGAGACTTAGGAGGTATGCACATTGGCCCATCTGCAATCATCTGCAACCTACACTTACCTATCAACTCCTTTACAACATAGGTAGGCATCAACAACTGCATGCAGTTGCAGACAAGTCAAGCTTTGGGCATCTGTGTTCTTATCTATCCTTCATCCCCTTTATATGATGCAGAACAAATTGTGTTAACTTTGGACAAACAGGAAAAGAGAATTATCCTGTAATTTATTATGTCTTTTTACTAATTTCTAAATATTATTCAAGCTCCATTTTACAGCATAAATTCTGCCTGTCCAAACAGGTTAGCCAGGAAGATAAGCTGTAGGTTCAGTTATCTGAGATTTAAAAGTTTTTCCACTGCAGCTATCCTCAATAGAATAGTAAGGGCTTCAATTAGCCTCTTCCTTTTTGTATTTTTGAAGCCTGTTAAGACTATTTTCCCAAAGAGCTTCAAGTTCAGGCATTGACACTTAACCGATGGAAGCCACACAATGGTATGGAAGACAGGAGAAAGAACCTTTGCCAGATGAGCAATCAAATAAGAGGCAGCTTCGCCCACAACAGGAACATAGGGATGCCAAACATCTCAGAAGAGATCTTTCCTAGTTTTTCAGGTTGAAAAGGCAATGGAGGAGAAATGTACTTTCAGATTTTCAAAATTCTGTTAATGTAACCTTATAATAAAGTAGAATTGGTTCATCTGGTGGTTTCTTGTAAGGTTGACCTCATTCTTGTAAGTCTGAAAGTACATTTCTCCATTTTTGCCTTTTCAGACCAAAAAACAAGAGAAAGTTCTTTCTGAAACACCTACAAGATTGGTGATAAGAAATTTAGAAAAGGATATTACAATGCTGCTTTTGTTGTGTTTTAACAAGGTGTTTAGGATTTTTGTGGAAATAAGGTGCTGAAATTGCCATAAGTAGATAATGTGGAAGTTATGGCAAATAAATAAATGACTAAATACCAATTAGCTGAATAAACTGGTGTCAAAACTTTGGATGTGAAGTTCAGCACAAAAAAAGTGACTGAGATATTAATATAGCCATTAAAATAGAAAAAAGGTTTTTCTTTTATTAAATGTCACTTATCCCTTGATTATACATCAAAGAAGTAAGTCCTGATGAAGTAAAGGAAAAAAAACCCTAGAAAAGAGGAGGAAGAAGAAGATAAGAAGTAATAGTTCAAAAGAGAATTATACAGGAGGAAAGTGAAGCACATATTGACATTTCCACTCATATCTTATCTCAAAAATCAACAACCATCTTAACTCATTAAATCAAGATTTCCAACAGATATGTTTTGTTTTGCTTTCATTATTATTGTTGATAACTTGGCATTCACACTATAGTACTCAAATATACTTACTATTTTAAAATGGTTTTATTTAGTTTTGGAAATGAACTTTGCAATTTTAGAAATAATCTGAAATTGTATATTGGGGCTATTAAAATCCCTCATAAAACTTTTAAGTAAGTTTTTTTTACAAAGAAAGCATGTGTTCTGTAAAATGTAGATTATATTTTACTTGCATTTGTATTCTAAGCAATATTTAATGAAATTGTTTTTAGTATATAAAATACAGATGATTTGATATTTAATTTTTAATAAAGTACATCCCCTCTCATTTTGATCTAGAGATGAAATGTCTGACTTTGTCATCAAAAGAAATAAGCAGAATATAGCAGAAAGGACTCCCACAAACCAACTAGATGAGAGACTATATATCTCCTTAAGAGAGATTTTTAATCAAGGATGGATAGTTGACTTTATTCTGCATATTTTCAGACAAATCAGTTGTGTAAAACATACATCAAAAATCAGTACTGGGGAACTGACTCTTTGAAAGTTGCCATTTTGTTTGTTGACATTCACAGAAAAAGAGAAACTTCAAGTTTCTTTCTGTTTTGAAATCTTTGTGTCAGATGTTCTGAGAAAACTAGTATTAAAAAACAGAAAAGAATAATTGTAAGCAATCTCTTTTCTGAAAAGCATCTTTTCAGCTTACTAACCCACATATAATTGTGTTCACTGGTCTTCATCTTATTTGTATGCATTCTCATAGCTTAAATTATTGTTGTCTCAAATATGGTACAACTCTATATAGAAATTTGCAATTATGACTAAATATATGAACATTTTACGATTTAAAAATTTCTTACTTCTGGATATGAGAAACTTTTGTTGTGCTTGCCTTGAATCTTTACCCAATATTCAAAATTTAATAGTTGTTTACAATTAGTTTACAATTACTGCAATTGCAAAATATTGTTTTACAGTCACCTGTTATCCTTCAGTTTGAGAAGAAATATTTTTTTATTTTTTAAGAACAAATTTGAAACTCTGATAGATGTAATTTTAGCATTTTATTATTTTTCAGAAGTGGCAGAAGGATGAACATGATTATTCTGTATTTGTTTTTTTTAAAAAAAAATGTTTTGCCTGGCTTTAATTAAATCATAAAGTAAAAGCACCTCAAGAGAATTCCTCCCATAAGCCTTTTTTAAAGGTTATAAAGTATAAGTAACCAATTTTTCCACAAAATAGTAAAGAGTATGCAGCAAACCACATTCACAGAAAAATATTCAAGTATGTACGTGCTCATAAACACACACACAAATACACACAAAGGAAATTTTAAGCACTGCTAGAAGGGCTTCTGAAGGAATTTTAAAATACCCTTCAATAAGACAAAAAGAAAAGGCAAAAAGAAATCTGAACAGGAAAGAAAAAAAGAAAAAATCTTTTCAGAAAATGAACAATAGGTTTAGTATTCATACAGAATTCTCAAAAATTCTGTATGTGTGTGTACACATGGGTGCGTTAAAATGAATATTATGTACCACATTTTAGAACTAAGACCAGATTTTTAAAAAATCACATACAAATAAATAGAAAAGCAAAAATAATTCTTTGTACAAATAATAATGAATGACATTTTTAAAATTACATTTTTATCTGATCTCTATCTGTTTTTCAATAATAGAAAACAATATGAGAGATCAATCATATCAATGGATAACTTAAAAAAAATAATACAATTGGATAGGGATCAGATTTTCTTCAAAAATAAATGCTAAACTCACTTGAAGTCTGAATTTAAGATGAAGGATTGCATTTCAAAATCCTGATAATGATTAAATTGAATTTTCATCCTTTATCCCCAATCAAATGTGCATTTGCATTTTTATAGATGAAGGCTATAGATTGGAGGAAGATCATGGAGTTCTCAAGAGCACCAATGTACATAGTTACCTTTCTTGTTGCCTCTGGAATCCCTAGACTGCTTTTTTTTTTTTTAAAGGAATATGGCATGCTGCAAAGCAAAGTACTGTTCTTCAGCATCACATTTATGTGCAGGAATGCCCTTGGGCTCTCAGTCATGGTATCCTGTTATTTCTGTGGGATAACACTCAGAGAGAGAATCTTGTATGCATAAATTGTGCCTACACAATCTGGTTAATGGGTGTTTTGTGAAATGCCATGTCCTCCAGGTCAATTTTGTGAATAGGCAATTCTTCCATGACAACCATTTTATGCAGGCCCACTACATGTTCTTAAACTTTTAAATGTCACCCAGGCTGAAAAGGTCATCTAAAGATTTAATGTCCTTTTTCTGAAGTCTTATCCACTCATAAAAGGCTGGCAACTAGGTTTTATTTTACTTAAATACATTTTTCTGCCCAAAGCAAAAGAGCAAAATAAGATCCATGACATCAATTTCCAACTGCCTCTGAACATGAATATTTTGAGGTGCATTTTGCAATAATTTCTTGCAAGTGGTAAATTAGCATCCACACAATCATATGAACTATTCTCTATTACCCGAAATGGATAGTTCATCAAAATAATCTCATCATGTAGTCTGAACTATGCAATATTTCATCTCTTAGTAAGAGAAGTGTTTCAGCGGTCGAAAGATACTGACAAAACTAAAGGGAAATGTAAAAATCTAGAGGAAAAAAAAAACGAATAATGCCCTTTTGGGGACGTGGCTTTACTAAAAAGATAGTTTGAAGGCCTATTTTCATACCTATTTTCATACCTATTAGAATAAATCTGTAGGCATTACATGTGGGCTAAGGAGTGATTTTATTTTATTTTAAAAAAAGTCATGTAGGGTAGCAAACCCCAGGATTTATTCTCATACCATAAAGACATAAGTGGTTAAAAAGTGGTAATTGAGGGTACCATGTGTGTGAATAAAATTAAATACTGAAAATGTTATTTTTCTAAAACTGAATATTCCGCTTGCAAATAAATTAGCAAACTCATTTATGGGTAGCTGGTTTCTATGCCTCACATTTTCAGCGCAGTACATAGTTTTTTAAAGTACTTTTAAATCCTATATTTTTGTGTGTATGTGTGTGTATGTGTGGTATATATAGAGAGAAAGAGAGATAGTGTGTGTAAAGTGAAGAAAAGCAGGATTTTCATTCATTGGAGATATTGCATAATTAACTATGATTGGTTTTGTTTAATCCTTCAATTCTGAAGGTTTAGCTAGTCAGAACTGAACAGTAATGAAGTAGTGTAAAAAAATATTGCCTTTTGGTATTATTTTACAGTTTCTTATTTTTTCCTTTATTGCACAGCACATGTTCTCTAGGGGAGATTTAGCATAATACCATATAAAACTCCATTTAAAAGTTGATTTTTTTATCTACAAAAATGCAAAACGCTATTGCTTAGAGATTCTAAATCATGACACTCCCAGTATAATTTTTAATTTTGCTTCCTTATGAATTTTCTATCTATAGTTGATAGATAACTATAGATAGAACAGTTAACTCTAACTTAACTGTTTTCTTAAAAATGTATGCAAATATTAGTGAAACAATTAGTGAAACAATTAATCATGTTAATTTCACATTCCAACCCTGTTTTAAAAGAAGTTAATTGTCTAGGAATTTACAAAATATGTGTAAAGGTGAACTGAACTTTTGAATGTTTTGAATTTAAAAATTTATGTTAGCAGGCTTCATATTCTTCCACAGGCCACTTTTTCCATTTTTCCTATTCTACTGAATCTTCCTAAAGTGATGAACACCAAAAGTAAACAAAGTCTTTCTAAAGTAAAGATTATTTTATAAAAACTGTGTGAACTGTAGCAGTTTCACTGAAGCCTAAACTCAACACCTAGCACTGTTAAGCAAAGCAAAGCAAAGCATAGCAAAGCAAAGGAAAGCAAAGCAAAACACAACCTGAGGCTAGTTTTTTTTTTTCTTTTTAACTCAAGATACAAGCATCATTAGCACTGGCTACATAGCTATATAATAATCATTATTTTCCCCCCAGCAAATTATTGTGGGTCCTATTCTCAATGTAGTAACACTATATTGCATGACACATAGCTGCTGCAGTGTGAATCAGTAAGTTACCTAAATGATGGGAAGAAAAATGAAATGATAAAACCAGAAATTAAAAAAAGAGATACAGTATTTGGCTAGTTGGGAAAGATGAAGGAAATAGCAACTTTTCACATACAAAGCAAAGTTATTAACATCTGTGTCATTTTAAAATATTGATAGTAAATAGAATTTCATTTTTAGAGATAAGGATATTGCTTCAGTTGAGGGAACATTTCTTCAGTAAAAACAGTCATTGAATTGCTATGGATAGCCTATAAAGAAGTAAGGCATTCCAACCAAAATAGACAACAGCATTAGACACAACATTAGAGGAAGAGACTACTTTCAAATTATAGAAAGAAAACACACTTAAAGATTGAATTTGTAATGAGAGACAATTGACTAAAGCTTGATGTCTTTCATTTCTATTCAAAAAAATAGTTGCTGTCCCATTTGGCAGCAGAACAGCTGAACTGTGCAGATAACTACTAAGACTTAAATATAGGAGAGCTTCCATTGCAATAGGATTCAACCTCACTATATGATTCATAACAGTGTGTCTAACATTTCTAAAAGCAGTAGCTTTCTATGGAATAAAATCAGGAATCATACTCACGGAATGCTCTATAGAATTCTTCCAGGCCAAGATGCTTGTCTCTATTATAATCATCATATTTCAACAGATCAAAAAGAGAGCAGTCAGACATATCCTTGCCAAGTTCATCTTGTTTTATTACCTGACAAGAGAATTTGTAACCATGAAATTACACTGGAGCTCAAGGAATTGAATGGTATAATTAAGTATTTCTAATATCATTTAACAGATCATATTAAAGATGCTTTAGGCCAGTGAATTAGAACTATGTAAAAGCAGAGGTTTTCAGTTCTTTTGTAATTATAAAATGTGTCATTCATACATTTTCATTTAATATATATGCTTAGATTTAGAATCCTGTCTCTATACAATGGGTAAAACAATAACATGCCAGAAGTATTCTGGGTGGTTGAATCCCCTCCCCATTTACCCCCAAATTAATCAGTTTTCTCTTTTTTCAAACGTAAAAAGAAACACTATATGTGTATAAGGAAAACTAGTAAGTCAAACTGAAAAGATGCATCACAGATATATCCCTAGACTTTTCATGGCAACATTTTGAAAGTGGTCTGTCATTTTCCCTTCTCCTCCTCTTGCTCCTTCACCCCCTTGCCCTTTCAGTCTAATCTGTAGCTCTGACTCCTGTAAAGATTGACTAGGCTTAACGTAGCTTCCAAACAACAGTGCCACCTACTAAGATGCCTATATTTGTCAGAAAAAATCAGGTCAAAACATAGATTTTATTTGAATTTGTATTCATTTTGATTTTGATTTTCTAGTTTCATCAGAAAATAGGTATAATTTATGTGAATTGTAAAATCAATTGTTTTGATTTTGATTTTCATGAGAAAACCTTTACACATGCAGATCATTATTTTGAAAATGTCCAATGGTTGATTAATTTGTCTTGCCAGTTCATGTCATAAATCTGATTCACTCTTGAATGGAATTTCAGCATGATTCTATCAAATATTCATACAATTCTGCTATTTATAACTTCAAATATTCAAAATAGCTTCAATGCTTCAAGCAGCATTCATTTATCAATCAGATTTGATTGTGCAATGAAATCACAGGGAAAGCTATTAGAAAAAGGTACTTCTAAAAAAGCACACATCTATATAGGGTTGTACAGTGTCTGAATTTGAACAAAAAAGATGTTTTCAATTATATGAATGTGTTTATATAGCTGTTATCAGTAATTTTAAAATATATGCTTCTTTTCCTCAGATTGCAGACTTGTCCTCTATTACAGTAAAAAAGACATCTGTGATTTAAGAAGTTGCCAACAAGGGATATATGTGTTCCTACCTAGCCTTAATAAGAAAAAAAAATACTGGATGTTGTTTATTTCCTATAAAGGGCCAACATTTTCTCCTCCCTTTGTGTAATTATGTTTTTATTGGTAGTTCTAATTTATTGTTTATCTCTTTAATCTTTATAAACCTCTCAGAATTGTTGATGAGTAGACAACCTTGAAAATGTAAATAAATGGATAAAAATGAATGTTTACCCAGAATGCTATTCCTTTTTCAAACAATATATTTTTGACTATAAACTTTCATTCAAAAACAATGGCAGAAAGAGATTTCTAAATTTGTTTGGCAAGATTAAAAAAATTCTGAGAGTTAAGTACAAAGTTTTGTCTGATGCTAAAGAGAGAGGGGGCTTAGTCTTACAAGATTTAAAAGTGTACTTTGAAGCTTGCTACTTAGTTTGGTTAAAAGAATAGGTGGTTCTAAAAAATAAAAGGTTATTGGACTTGGAAGGGCATTTTTAATTGGTCAGCAACATAAAAAGACAAGTAGCCTCTTAGTTACATTACATATAAATAAACAATATTTAAATTTATCCTTTCCCAGGCACCTTTTTTTACATCAAAATTGGTTTTAGAGATGATCAGCAGTCCGAAAGATTGTCAATATCTTTTAGATACAAGCAGCTAGTTATAAGCAGAAAAAGCAGTTACTATATTTACATTAGTGCTGTCTATCAAATATAAAGGCATGTCAGCAAAAATAATCCAATAAATAATGCCAGTAATTTTAGATTAATAATGATATTTCTATTATAGGAATTCAGGTTCATTTATATAAGCATGTAAATCTACCTTCTCAAGAGGCAGATTGTGTTTGTTCAATGATTTGCCATGGAAAAGAGAAGATGCTGATAGTGTTTCTGCAAAATGATGTTTCTGTAGAGTTCAAAAGGACTATTAAGATTTTGCAACTTTGATTCAGAGTGATTGTCTTGTCTATCTAACATGGCGTCATTAAGAGATAGCATGGAACCGCTAACATGGGCAAACCTGTATTCACTGATCACATGAGGCAGAAAGTAACTGAAGACATGGCTGCACCACTTCCTAACTCTACCTTCAGTTTCAAACCTTGCAACAACAAAACTTCAAGATAATTCAACTTGCATTCATGGGAACATAAATATTGCCATATTATTATAAATTCTGATTAGGTGATCCAAAGAAGCTGTCTTTCTTTTCTTCCATTATAATGTGTTGCTAAAGATCACTGTGGGATTTTGGAGAGACTAGAAAATAATTTCCATAAAAATAATGCTGACTCGTCCAGATTCTCTGGCACTTAGAATCCCATCAAAATCATCCAGTACATAAAATAATGCAGGATTGATTACTGAACTGAATTCCTGATCAGTAACTTAAAATACCAAGACTTCCAAGAATCCACCTCAAAGCCTTAAACAGTTCACATTTGGCACTATAATTGTTGCGTCCTTGGCGGGAAAGCAGACACGAGAAGCAGCTGGAGTTCTCAGTTTCTTTTATTCAGCGTTCAGCTTACAGGAAGATGGCTTCAGACTCGCCCAAACGCCTCGCAGCCTCTTATATAGGCAACTCCCGGGTAAATGGGTTACTTTTCCCGCGCCAGCACCCGCGCATGCGCACGGCGCTGGCGACAGCCTGTCTGGTCCCGGGCAGCTTTGCACCTGCCCGGGACTGCCTGCAAACGCCCGAGCCGTTTGCAAAGGCTCGGGACATAACACCCCTTTCCCCCGGGCTAAAACTACTACCAACATACAACATTTATTTTATATGACATTTTGCTCCCCAATGTTCCCACTGTTTACTGGCTTTTGCTTTGCCAGCAATGTTATGTAGTCTTCTAGGTACTTGGGAGATTTCTTTGCTCTCTGTGACCTTCTTAGCTCTGGATTACTGGCATAAGTCCCCTGACTGGAGGGAGGCGTGAGCCTTTTCTCTCTATTGTGCCCTGGTGTCTTCCAAGGACTGTGCCCCAATGCCTGGCCTGCTCGCTTGCCCACCGGGCTCGTCAGGCCAGGGCTTCTGTTGCTTTGTGACCTGGTTGACCTGCCTAGCTGTAGACCCTCGGGCCCCTTGAAGTGATAGCCGCTGCTGGGCGTCTCTGTAGGACCTCCTAGGTCAGTCCAAGACCTGTCAGGAGGCTGTCCATTCCCTGAACCCCATTCTGTGTTCGGGCTCGTGTGGGTTTCTGTACTTTCCCAAAACTCAGGTGTTCCCTGATTTGTGCTAGGGGTGTTGTAGTCGGGACTTGGTTCCTCGACTAGCTCTGTGTATGTTTGACCCCCTGTAGGATTTGGGGTAAGGTCAGGCCAACCTTGGGAATTGTGTGCCAGCTCTCTTGCGGGGAATGATTTGTTGGGATGCCCCCGGGTATCCTCCGTGACTGGAGTGCTGTGTGACGTATGTGGAAAGTGAGTATGCCCCCGGGGTGACTCCCTGGCTGGAGTAGGCGTGAGTGCCTGTTGTGTGGGTAAGCTCCATGACTTCCTTTTCGGAGCAATTGCGGAATCTTGGGACGAGCCGTTTGTGGCTCCCTCAGTGGAGATGGGCAGTAGCTCTTGCCCTTCCCTTTGCTCCAAAGGGTCCCCCTCCCCCCCTGGAAAAGACCCAGGAGTCTCAGCAGAAAAGTCTCGCCTAGAGCGAAGTTGGTCGATGTGCCGACGCAGGACACGACCGTTGTCCAGGGCAACCTCGTAGGAGAGAGGACCTGTGATCCTGGACACAGAAGCGGGGACCCATGTATGACCAGGCCCGTAATTGCGAGCCCAAACCGGGGCACCCACAAGTAGTTGTCTAGGTGCCCTAGGATGTGAGGTAGATGAAGGCAGTCTGTCCGGATGCAACCGGTCAAGTCTAGTAGTAAGTTGGCGCCCCCAACGAAGTTCAGCTGGACTTCTCCCTGTAGAAGTGGACGGTGTGGTGCGATAAGAAAGGAGAAAGTCAGCCAACCTGTGATGCCAGTCCCCGTAGGTGAGTCTCTTCAAGGCGTCCTTTGCGATGCGCACCATGCGTTCAGCCATACCGTTGGTGGACGGGTGAAAAGGCGCAGACGTGGCATGACGAATCAGGTTTGCCTGTAAGAAAGCTTGGAATTCGGAGGAGGTGAATTGAGGGCCGTTGTCGGACACAATGACATCTGGCAGCCCGTGTGCAGCAAAAATCCCCCTCAGTACCTGAATAGTCTTTGCAGTGGTGGTGGATGAGACAGGCACAACCTCAAGCCATTTTGAATGGCTGTCAACAAGGACCAAGAAGAACTGGCCCTGAAAGGGCCCAGCGTAGTCAATGTGCACCCTAGACCATGGGGACTGTGTTTCCTCCCATCTATGCACAGGAGCTTGGGGCATCTCTGGGCGAGATCGTTGGCACAGGTGGCATGCGTGCACCTTAGCCTCAATATCTTTATCTAAACCAGGCCACCACAAGTGGCTGCGTGCAAGAGCCTTCATACGAACAATGCCAGGATGACCCTCGTGGAGGGATTCTAAGACCCTAGTCCTCATTGAGGTGGGAATGACAACTCTGTTTCCCCAAAGCAGACAACCCTGAGAAAGGGACAGTTCGTTTCTTTTGGACCAGAAACTCTGAAACTCAGGACTAGGGCAGTGCTCAGGCCACCCGGACAGGACCCAGGAGCGGACACGTGAAAGTGTGTGATCTGTACCCGTTTCAGCGGTAACATCCCTGGCACTAAGAGGGAGCTCGGGCAAGGCTTGGATTGATAGAATGTTGACAGCTGGCGCGGGGTCAGCTTCTACTACTGGCAGAGGCAACCTACTGAGGCCATCAGCATGGCCCATTTCTTTCCCAGGCTTGTGGAGTAATGAAAAATCATATGCAGA